GGGAGGGGCAGAGAGAGAGGGAGACACAGAATCTGAAGCAGGCTCCAGGCTCTGAGTTGTCAGCACACAGCCCGACGTGGGGCTTGAACCCACGAACTGTGAGATCAAGACCTGAGCCAAAGTCAGTCACTCAACCGACGGCGCCACCCAGGCACCCCAGGAAATCCCGTTTACAGAGGAGGAAACTGAGGCTCCCAGGGCTGGTCTGAGCCAAGTCCCCTCACGCATCTCTTCCTGAAAGCCCTAGCTGGAGGGGCTGTCCTGTCTTGGGTGAAGTCTGCCACCACCTCCTGGGGTTCCAGCCGTCCTAGAGGGCTTTGTCTTTTCAGAATCGGTCAGCATTCAGACCTGTTCTGGCGGCCAGGGTGGATCAGAGGCAGGTGTGGGGAGGAGGTGACTTCAGGGCCCTGCCCGTGTTGACACACTGGGGGTCAAGGTCTCTCCCCCGCCCCCCCCCGCCCCCTCCCCGGGCTAGGTGGCTTGGTCCCTGAATGGCACCTCGTGGGTCTCTGCAGACGTGTGGGCCAACGTGAAGGTGGAGTGCGAGCCTAGCTGGCAGCCTTTCCAGGGCCACTGCTACCGCCTGCAGGCTGAGAAGCGAAGTTGGCAGGAGTCCAAGAAAGCGTGTCTGCGGGGCGGGGGCGACCTGCTCAGCATCCACAGCATGGCCGAGCTTGAGTTCATCACCAAGCAGATCAAGCAAGGTGAGTGGCTGCTCGTCCACGCACCTGGGGCGAGGGCCGCGCCTTCCCAGTGCCCGTCCTGTCCTGCCCAAGAGGCGACGGGACTGTCTGTCTGCTGCTGCTGGCTGAGGCTGACCTCTCTGTCTTCTCTCCCGTCGGCCCTGCTGTATCCCAGAGGTGGAGGAGCTGTGGATTGGCCTCAATGATTTGAAGCTGCAGATGAATTTTGAGTGGTCTGATGGGAGCCTTGTGAGCTTCACCCACTGGCACCCCTTTGAGCCCAACAACTTCCGGGACAGCCTGGAAGACTGTGTCACCATCTGGGGGCCGGTGAGAAGCCCCTCTCCCCACCCTCCTGGTGCTACTGTCCGCTTCTGCCTTGATACCCCCACCCCCATGGCCTCTCGGAAGCCCCCACTTCCCCACCAGCCCTTTCCCTTCCGTGTGCAGAGATTGCAAGGATTTGAATCCTCCCCACCCCCAACTAGCTGGGTCACTTTGGGCAAGTTACTTAACCTCTCTGTGCCTTGGTTTCCTCATCTGTCAAAGGAACACTAACAGTGGAAACCTCAGGGGGTCATTGAGAGGATTAAAGGAGTTAATTCTCGTGAAGCCTTAGGAAGTTGCCTGGCATGATCTTGGTCTACCAGCTGCTCTTCCCTAACGGCAGGTGGCATCAGAAGCCACGTTTTGTGGACAGGCTCCATTGGCACGGCTGCTCTGTAGCCAGCCCTACCCAGCCCAGGGTCCTGTCTCCTCAAAATATTATGGGGTGATGACTGTTTGCCGTGGTTTGGGCTCAGATGCAGTGTGGGTAAATGAAGGAATTGATGTAGGGCTTCAAGCAAAGAGAAGAGACCCTTAAAAAAGTGACCAAATCACAGGGACAGAGTACAGACTCCAGGGACAGATAGGACATTCTGCTGTGAGATACTGCAAAGCAGTGCCAGGACTAGAGACAGAGCCATCTGGCATAAGGGATGCTATTTAAAAATATACAAACAGTTGTTTGTTGAGTGTCTGCCACGTGCCAGGCATTCTCCTGGGGACTGGGACGCAGACACCTCTGCCCTCTGTTGGAGCTAAAGGCACACAAAGTGCTGGCTGGGAGACTGGGGACACGGGACAATCTGGAACACAGAGAGGACAAGCCTCTTGCTCAGAATCACACAACAAGTTGGAGGCGGGAGCGGGTCTAAAAATCAGGTTCACCGAAGGGTTTGGGGGCGGGTGGGGGGTTGGCGGCTGAGACTCTCCCTCATCCTGTGTCCTTAGGAAGGTCGTTGGAATGATAGTCCCTGTAACCAGTCCCTGCCGTCCATCTGCAAGAAGGCAGGCCAGCTGAGCCAGGGGGCAGCCGAGGAGGACCATGGCTGCCGGAAGGTGAGGGAGCTGCCCTTGTGTGGGGCCGACCAGAGGGGGGACTCCTGGGGGAGGGAGGGGACAGCCCCCCCCCCCCCGCATCCTCCCATCCTTCGCACATCCCTTCCTCCTGCTTTCCCTATGGCTCTGTTCCAGAAGGAGTGACATTGGATAATGCAGGGTGGGGGTAGGGTGGGGGCTGTTGGGAGGAAGCAGAGCTCCCCACCCCCACTCTTTTTGGGAAAGCCGCTTCTCAGAGGCAGCAGAGAACAGGAGGTGGGTGTGGACAGGCCCCCAGGCCCTCACCGGAGTGAGGCTGCACGCCCCCGCCCCCAGCTCTGTCTCTGCCGGCAGGACTGCCCGTGTTAGGGGGGCAGTGCATGTGTGACTGAGCGGCCCATGTCCTCCCGGACTCCCCACAACCTGGGCCTCAGCCAAGCAGGGGTGTACGTGGTGTGGATGAATGTGGGGAGGTTACTCAAAAAAGGCCCTTTAAGGTGTTTTGGCCCCTGGTGGCTCCATCTGCTGAGGCCACGTTCCTGCCAGCCCCTTGCTGCCGGTCTGGCTCCTCGCCCCGTTTTCCTTTCGATTAAGCCCGCTTACCACACCCCCACCTCACATGAACCCCAAGTTCTCCCCCAGGGGAGGGGCCCGAAACAACAACAGGCATGACCTGCAGTGGGGAGGAGAGAGAGCAGACGGGCCCCGCTGAAGCATATGGGGGAACGGCACGGGCAGAGACTAGCCCAGGGCTCTGTCCTGGCTTGGGTGAGGTGGGGGCAGGGAGAGAAGAGGCGTGACTAAGGGCCCCGGCACCAGGGCTGCCTGAGATGTCCGTGCAGTGTTGAGCAGCCCCGGTTCACACCCTGGGAGAGCCGGGGTCTTAGCATAGCCTTCCCCCCGCCCCACCAGCTTCTCTTTTGCTCTGGCTCCTGCCCAAGGGGCTGTAACTTTCTCCCAACCTTGAACCCACCCCAAGGCTTCCCATCTCAAGAGCTCCTGGAGATGAAGGCCTTGGGAGGCATCTTGTGTCGTCTTGGGATGGAGCAGGGCTGCCCTGGGGACAGGAGCAGCCTTTGTGGTGTGAGTTCAAGTGTGAGCTCCACCTTGTACTGTCTGTGTACAAAGTCCAGTCACTTCATTTCTCTGAGCCTCAGCTGCTGTTGTGAAAGGCGGGAGCAGAGAGCTCAGGGTGGCCCAAGGGGGGCGGGAGGTCTGTTGGGTGAAGACTCGGCTGGTCTCGTGGGGGTTGGGTGGTAGAGGACCAGCCCCTGAGGAGCTGTGTTCTCTTCCAAAGCTTCGCTGCTCCTCGCTGAGGGTCCGCGCCCCAGGCTAGCTGCCTCCTCCGCTCACTGAACCTTTTCCAGGACCCGAGGATTACCCAGCCCTTCCGCATGCTGGCATCTCTCCCAGCTTTTCAGTTCTGATTTCGCAGCCAACTGGCAATTTTCCCACCGTGACTCTTTGTTTAAATGCCCGAGACAGGAGTCCAGCGGGCCGCCCATCGTTCCTCACCAGCCCACAGGCGGGTCACTGGCTACCTCCAGAGTGGCCGCCCTTGGGCCGTGCTTCTACCTCTGGTCTGGCCATTGTGGCTACTGGTAGGGAGTGGGGATGTGAAGTGATAAGGTGCAGAACACAGCACAGGAAGAGCCGTCTCTGGTGTCAGACCAGTCTCCTCTGTCCTGTGCCCAGGCCTGTGGCACATTCAGTGATGCCACGGATGGCATCCCCCACCCCAAGATTTATGGCTGAGGGAGGAGAGTCCTTCTCACAGACGTCCCTCTTCTACCCGCTCTCTCGAGCCAGGGTTGGACGTGGCACAGCCCATCCTGCTACTGGCTGGGAGAGGACCAAGTAAGCTACAGTGAGGCCCGGCGCCTGTGCACCAACCACGGCTCTCAGCTGGTCACCATCACCAACAGGTACAGACCGGGGCGTGTGCCCAGACCAGCCCTCGACGCCTGTCTTGATGCCTAATGTGGGCCCTGCACCAAACAGGTGGCATTGTAACATTAAGCACAGAGGGACCTGAGTCCTTGAAGCCTCAGATGGCTTTAGGACCTTTTTCTATTATTGTCACAAGAATGGTTCCCGTTTATTAAGCGACCCCAGTGTAGGGCAGGGCAGGGGCAGCAACAGGTGTAGATGTGGGCTGGATGCCCAAGAGAGGCCTTGGCTGTGTCTGATTTTCTTTCTTCTCAGCAAGGCACGGAGGTGCAGGCAGTAAGCAGGGAGCTTGGTTGCTGTATGTCAGCCGTAGGGTCCCCATGGGTCCCTCAGGTTACTGGTTGGGGGGTGGGCAGGGCATCGGGCCTGTGGTCCAGGGAGTGGTCGGGGTGAAGGCAAGCTCCCTGCCTGACCAGCTTCTCTGCTACAGGTTTGAGCAGGCCTTTGTCAGCAGCCTCATCTACAACTGGGAGGGAGAGTACTTTTGGACGGCCCTGCAGGACCTCAACAGCACCGGCTCCTTCCGCTGGCTCAGCGGGGATGAGGTCATGTATACCCACTGGAACCGGGACCAGCCTGGTGAGCCCCTCCTGCACTGCACTTGGCCAGCCCCTTCTCTGACTTTCCTTGGTGAAGCCAGGAGGCCGTAGGCACCTGCCCCGCTGGGACCGAGTCCCAGGGCTTCCCAGCAAACTGATCGTCGGTACAGCATGGAGCAGTGGTGAGGGACACAGGCTCTGGGGCCAAATCGCCTGGTGCGTCTTTGAGCTTCAATTTCTCCTCTGTCAAATGAGGATAATGGTACTTTCCTCATAAGGTTGGTGTGAGGCTGAGACGGATTAATAGATGTGAAGTGCTTCATTATTAGATGGGACACGAGCACAGGAGCTCACTATTAGGATTATTGCCATTTCACATTCGGTATCGTTTGTAGCCTTTTCAATTCCCCGACGAGACAGATGGTCAGACAGCCTCAGAGTAGTTAAGTGACTTGCCTAAGATCTCACACAGGAGTAAACACAGAGCCGGGACTCTGCCTCCATTCCCTTCTGGGTCCCTGCTGACGGCCGAGCTGGTCACCCAGTGTGCGGGGCGAGACTGGGGTGGTGCCCTGTGGGGAGGACTGGGCCATGAGTCCTCAGCAGACGGGTCTCTTGCTCCCTCCTCCAGGGTACAGCCGTGGGGGCTGCGTGGCCCTGGCCACGGGCAGTGCCATGGGGCTGTGGGAGGTGAAGAATTGCACCGCGTTCCGGGCCCGCTACATCTGCCGGCAGAGCCTGGGCACGCCAGTGACGCCCGAGCTGCCTGGGCCAGACCCCACGCCCAGCCTCACCGGCTCCTGTCCCCAGGGCTGGGGGTCAGACCCCAAACTCCGGCACTGCTATAAGGTAGGCAGCCTGCCGGCATGGGAGGAGGGAGAGAAACTGGAGTGAAGGAGCCGCACGCCTGGGGCGAGGGCAGCCCCAGCAGGGCCCAGGCCCCATCCAGGCAACTGGGCCCCGGGGACACTGTTTCTCCACAGCCACCTGCAGGCAGAGGTAATTTCCGATGACAATCTTGTCAGTGGAATGTCAGGTGTGGCACATAGTAGGTGCTTGATAAACATGTGAGGGATTGGAAAAAACAAACAAACATGGAGATAATCCATTTCAGATGTTCCCAAATGTTGGGGCTGGGCTATCTACATTTCATCATTATCTGGGCAGCTTGATAAAAATAAATGCCTGGGGCTGCCACTATGGAGAGTGGGGTTCACCAGGTTGGGACGGGGCCTGGTGCTCTAAACTTTAAATCCCTGCTGGGTTTGGGAGCCACTGATGTAGTCCAAGGTCTTTTATTACATGAGGAAGCTGAGTCCATGGAAGGGAGGGGACTGGCCCACAGTGCACTGTGGCTGGTTCAGGGGTCTGGGCAGGGGGTATTCTCTAGGGGCTGGCTGTGCCGGCTCCCCTCCCGGAGGCTCATTCTCTGATGCGCAGGCTTGTCTTAGCTAGCCTGCACCCCCATCCAGTGAGGCCCCAGCCCCCCTCCCACTGCTGTCATTGGAGGGCGGGCGGACCAGTGGGGACAGCTTGGACACCTGGACTTTGTTCCTATAGGTGTTCAGCTCAGAGCGGCTGCAGGACAAGAAGAGCTGGGTGCAGGCCCAGAGGGCCTGCCAAGATTTGGGAGCCCAGCTGCTGAGCCTGGCCAGCTATGAGGAGGAGCACTTTGTGGCCAACATGCTCAACAAGATCTTCGGGTACTGAGCCTGGGGCGGTGGTCTGCATGCACCTGTGTGGGCTCTTGGCTCTGCTGGGCAGGGGGCAGGGTAGGGCGCCCCCAGTGAGGCCTGTCCAAGGGCTGGGAATGACCTGTGTATCCGCAGCTAATGCCAGGACCATCCTGTCCTCCGTCAGGTAGTCCTCTTCTCCCTGGGATTGGAGACTGTTGCTCTCCAGTGTCAGGGAGCCAGCAGTGGCCCCTTCAGACTCCCACACCTTTACAAAAGTAACTATCCTCCCCATCCCTCTGCAAGCCAATCCAAGTAGAGCATCCCCCACCGCCCAACCATCCCGTATGGACCCACTGTCCTCAATAAACCGGGTTTCCTGAGAGAGAGGAGGACAGGAGCTACCAAAGTGAGCATCTGCTCATGGGGGTCCCTCCAGGACCCTGTGTCTGTCCTGTGGACCCCCCAGCATCCTATGACACAGAGCACCTATAATCCCTTAGCACGGGGAAAAGTCCAAATGGACCCAGGCTTCCTAAGATGTTAATTCCAGGGCCATGCCTTTTCAGCAAACATCAAGATTACATTATGTGACTAGTCATTACAGCTCTCGTTGATGGCTTCTCACCACATCTCAGGCACTGCACTAAACAGTTCATCACATTCAGTCTTTTCTTCAACCCTACGAAGTAGACATTATCACTGACCCTTGTGGGCTGATAGAGAAGTTGGGCCTGCTGTCACAGAGCTGCTCCCTGGGTGACCCTGGCCTGGAATCTACTTTTACCTGATTCCAGAGCCCCAGGTCTATGCTACATCCCCATTGATTTACTAAAGCCCTTAAGTGAAAGCCTCTGGAGCCTTGCTGGAAGGGCAAACCCCACCCGATGGGAGCCAGGCCACTTTCCCCCAGTGAGTTGGCCGCCTCGTCCAGCGGGCTCAGTTCTTCGAGGGTGAAGCCCAGAGGGAGAGGCCCCAGGCCCTTGGGATTGCTCCTCTCATCTCTTCTGTCCCCACCCCTGTATTGTGCTGAAGTGAATCAGAGCCCGAGATCCATGAGCAGAACTGGTTCTGGATCGGTCTGAACCGTCGAGATCCCGGAGCGGGGCAGAGCTGGCGCTGGAGCGACGGCTTGGGGGTGAGCCGGCCTGGAGGGGACAGGTCAGGCGGTGGGCGGGCCTAGGTGGGCAGGGCTCGATTAGAGACGTGGTCTTTCTGGGGCGGGACTGGACTTGGAGGTGGGCGAGGTTTAGCTGAGTTCGGGCATTTGGCCGACCCTGCAGGTAAAAGAAAGGGGGGTGGGGTGTCCAGCCCGGGTTAAGGGTTCCCAGCTCAGGCCGGGCCTGTGGTTCGTCTGTCCTGGGGACGCTGAGGCCTGCGCCCCGTGCCTGACCACCCTCTCGCACTCCCACCTCCAGTTCTCTTACCACAATTTTGACCGGAGCCGGCATGACGATGATGACATCCGGGGCTGTGCAGTGCTTGACCTGGCCTCCCTGCAGTGGGTGGCCATGCAGTGCGAGACGCAGCTGGACTGGATCTGCAAGATCCCTCGAGGTTGGGTGGGATGGCGCTGGGAAACGGGGGACGGGGCAAAGGGCGGCGGGGCCGGGAATCCAGGGGAGGGTCTTCTTTCCCTGCAGCGTCTCTATCCCTATTGTCTCTCTAGGCACAGACGTGCGGGAGCCCGACGTCAGCCCACAAGGTGAGGCGCCTTGCCCCCCACCCTGGGCTGTGTGGAGAAGGTGAGGGACGTCACCCACCCAGCAGGGCCTGGCTGAGGTGGAACGAAAGGAGTTAGGGATCGGAGCCCAGGGAAGGGGAATCAGGACGCCTGGAGCCCTGTCGACCTCCGTCTCTGAGCAGGGGCAAGCTTGGGCCTGGAGTGATTCCTGCCCCAGGTCCTAGCGGCTCGAAAGCCACCTGCTGCCTGCCCTTGGACAGGCGGGCCTGGGCCCTGAATGACGTGACCCCCCCCCCCCCCCCGGCCCCGGCTGCTCCTCGAATGCTCACACTGCCCCCGCAGGCCGGCGGGAGTGGCTGCGTTTCCAGGAGGCCGAGTACAAGTTCTTCGAGCACCACTCCACGTGGGCCCAGGCGCAGCGCATCTGCACGTGGTTCCAGGCCGAGCTGGCCTCCGTGCACAGTCAGGCCGAGCTGGACTTCCTGGGGCACAACTTGCAGAAGGTGACCACTTGAGCGGGCAGGGGGAGGGCCGGGCCGGGAGGAGAGGCCCTGCCACCCCTCATCTGCCTGACCGGTTTCCCCAGTTCTCCCGGGGCCAGGAGCAGCACTGGTGGATCGGCCTGCACACTGCAGAGAGTGATGGGCGTTTCCGGTAAGAGCCAGGCAAGAGGGGGTGGGGGGAGCAGCGGGTGAGGTAGGGAGGGCGTGCCTGGATGGCCACCCACTGCCCAGGTGGGAGCTAGGGAGGCTGCCCACAGAGCCACATAGACCTGAATTTGAATCCAGCTCTTGTTCCTCACTGGCTGCGTGGCCTTGATCAAATGGGCCTTGATTTTCGAACACGGAGAATGATGAGGCCTGCCTGGTAGGATTGCTCTGAGGATCAGAAAGAAGCCTTGTGAAGTCCTGAGCACAGCATCCAGCACATAATTGGGCACCAAATAATGGCAGCTCATCTTCTGCTGGGGTCACTCATGAATAAGGCTCCCTCAGGACACGGACAAGAACATAATGATGTCCCGAGGGGCCTCTCTGTATTCAGTACCCACCTACCCTGCCTGAGGTGGCTGGAGGCAGCGAGGACCAGGAGCACATAGCGCTCTCAGCACACTGTTACCTGTGGACCTCTATTCTGGGGTCCTCACACTTTGCTAGTGAGGGGATGAGAGTCTGGAGGGCTGGGCTTTACGTGGAGGCACCAGCTGCCCTGAGCTCAGTAGCCTCATTCTTAGCCTGGAGCCCCTGGACTTGGGCCCTTCCCCACCCCCCTTACAGTGGCCTTCATTGCTGCATTCAAGGGAGGTTGGGCCCAGGGCCAGTGCTGGAGTCACCTCTGCCTGGTGCCATTGCAGGTGGACAGATGGTTCCATTATAAACTTCATCTCCTGGGCACCCGGTAAACCTCGGCCCATCGGCAAGGATAAGAAGTGTGTGTACATGACCGCCAGCCGAGGTGAGAGGAAGGTGGGGGCAGAGAGGGTGCAGAAGCCCAAGAAAAGGCTGATGTTGGGGGCAGTGAGGTGAGCCTAGCCAAGCCCCACAGTCTCTTCTCATTCTCTTCATTCCCACAACCCAAGAGGGGTAGACCCAGAGAGGGGACCTGTCCCTATGATCCAGCAGCCACAGAGGACTAGAGTTCAGAGCTGGACACAGGCTGGGTATGAGGCAAGGGTGCTGCCAGCCCTGTCCTATGCTAGAGTGACTGCCCCCTTCTTTCTGCAGAGGACTGGGGGGACCAGAGGTGCCTGACGGCCTTGCCTTACATCTGTAAGCGCAGCAACAGCACTGGAGAGCCACAGCCCCCAGACCTGCCACCCACGGCCCTGGGGGGCTGCCCCTCTGGCTGGGACCAGTTCCTCAACAAGGTAGGAGATGGGGAGGGGGCCCCCGAGGGAGTCAGGGGAGAGGATATGAACATGGGAGGCCAAGTTTCAGGAGTCCTGGCCCTTTGACAACATCAAATTCATGACCTCTTGCCTATACCCACCAACGTCTCTCCTACTTGGCCCCAGTGCCAGGGCCAGACTCCCTGGAAAATAACTCCTTTTGGTAGCACCTTCTAATCCACCAGGTAGAGAGAGTATCCACATAGTGTGGTGAGTTTTCGAGATTAGTGGTCACCAACCATTTTCATACTGTTTGATAATTTTGATAAATTTCTATTAGGAAAACAAAATATTGAACATACAAAGTATGTGTATGTATGTACATCATATGTATGTGTGTGTGAATACATATATATTTACTTCTGTACTAATGTGATTAATGTTGTATATGGTAAAATATGCACAAGAACAAAAGAATATAAAGCATGAGCTAAGTATTAAAAGAGAATTTATTTTTTTTAAAGTTAAAAAAATTTTTTTTAATGTTTATTTATTTTTAAGAGAGAGAAACAGAGAAAGAACATGAGTCAGGGAGGGGCAGAATTCGAAGCAGGTGCCAGGCTCTGAGCTGTCAGCACAGAGACTGATGTAGGGCTTGAACTCACAGACTGTGAGATCATGACCTGAGCTAAAGTCGGATGCCCAACCAACTGAGTCACCCACACACCCCTTGAAAAAGTACTTTTAAGTTTAAAAATGTTTTCTATATTAGTGGTGTGAGAAAAGCACTCAAAAATGATCAATAGTAATTTTTCCTATTTAAGTAATTTGGATAAGAGCAAAGTAATTGCATATATTTCATTATTTAAAAAAATATCTTGGTCTGACACTTTATGATTCAGGACTTCACAGATCGTGTCTGAAGTTCAGATTATTTTAAAACGTGGATTTAATGATTATTGTAGATGAAAAGGTTGCCTCCCAAAGACAAATGCATCAAAATGAAAAAGTTCATTCATCGTTGGCTGATCTTTCTTTATTTTCTAGTCCTTCCACCAATTAAAAAAGGTTTCCGTTTCAAAATTGGCTGCTAAGTTTCCACATTCTATACTAATCTGACTCATAAACTAATCAGAAGACCTGATTAAGACTGTTTAAGAACAAGTCTTTGCAAGATTTTTTTTTTGCCAGTTTGTCTACAGCTCTTTATTTATTTATTTATTTATTTATTTATTTTTGTATTTTTCTTTTTTAAAAAAGTTTATTGTCAAGTTGGTTTCCATATAACACCCAATGCTAGTGCCAACAAGTGCTCTCCCCCATGCCCATCACCCCCCTACCCCTCCCCCCCCACCCCTATTAGCCCTGTTTGTTCTCAGCATTCAAGAGTCTCTCATGGTTTGCATTTGGAAGATTTTTTGAAATACCATTTAGGAAATTCTTTTCCCAAGGGTTTTGAGTGTGCAGAGAGGAAAGTTTGGGGGAATAACATGAATCTGAAGGGATGCTTCCAAACAGGTCTTCAAAATGTTCCTTTGAGAGTGTGAATTTCTTTCCAAAAGTGATTACTTCTGCACTTGTGGGTTGATTGATCATATCTGATTAGACCTTCATTGTTTTTATCTTGTGGCCGACAAGAGTTTGTCCCAGGAAGAGAGGAGCATGATTTTCCTGTTTGCGCCAGCCATCAGGAGTATGAGCTTTAGTCCATGCTTGCTTTGGCCGAGGTTGTAAAACCACTTAGCCGGATTGTGAGGATTAGATTAGTTAACACTAGATCATATAATCCGTAAATCGTTGTCCTGTAATGGAGTGCAGCCAGCCCTTGGTGTCAGGGAGCTCTTACAGTCTTTAGAATATTCAAGGGAATATTATACCTTTTCTAGAAACAAACTCGTGTATTATTAAAACTTTGGAAAAAACAGAAAAAAAGAAAATGAAACTCATCCTTTCCAGAAATAACCACCATTAATATTTATTGCTCTGCTTCCTGCCTTTTTCCACACAATTGAGATCGTACTGCCTAATGCGATCGAACTTCTCAGTGCTGTATTTTGAGCATTTTTCTCATGTCATTACCTTTTCAAAAACTTATTCTTGTGGTTTCTTCTGTCTGACATAAAACAGAGTATATTGTATGTATGTAATTGGTCTCCTTCTTTCAAAAAACCTTTTTTTAAATGTTTATTTATTTTTGAGAGAGAGGCAGGGTTGGGGGGAAGTGGAGGGGGCAGACACAAAATCCAAAGCAGGCTCCAGGCTCTGAGCTGTCAGCACAGAGCCCAATGCAGGGCTTGAACTTACAAAGCGTGAGATCATGACCTGAGCAGACGTCAGATGCTTAACCGACTGAGCCACCCAGGCAACTCTAGCTGGTCTCTTTCTTAATGTATCAACATCATTGTACAGATACTAGTTACTCCCCAGTCAGAAGCCTTTGAATTATGTGAGGCTGTTTGCTCCTTCACTACCTGGCCCCAGACATCTTGCTCTACTCGTTCTTTGCCTTCTTTGCAGCCCCATAGCATTTGGATGTAGGGAGAGAGAGTAAGGGTCTGCCTCTCCCACTGGCCTTAAGCTCCTGGAGGCCAGGGCCACTGGCTCCTGACGTATCACTAAATACACTTGCACATGATAGGAAGTCCCTTAGTGTTTGTTGGGCTGAGCCGAATACTTTCTCTCTTTAACTGCTGATACTTGCTGATACTGATGTGACCTTGCCGCTTCTCATTTTATGACTAATTATTTTGCTAGCTATTTAGAGGAGGCTTCAGAGTATCTCTGAACTACTTCTGTGAAACCAGATGCATGGGCTTTGTGATAAAACCTCCCCCAAACTCTTGCATTATTTCTGGGTTTAACGTTTTCTACCCCAAATCTGATATTTGCATCAGTAAGCTGATGGGAGAGCTAATCATAATAGTAGTACTAAGAGCTTTTACTTGTTAAGCACCTGCTCCACTCTTCTGTTTAACCCTTAAAATAACCCCAAAAGACAGATTGTTTTATTCCCATTTTACAGAAAGGTTAAGTTAGATCTGGAATCTGAGAGGCACGCCCCCCGGCCCTCTGTGACTCCAAAGCTTCCTTCCTTTCTTTCTCCCCCATCCTGCCAAGGAAGAAATTACTGGAAATCATTCATTTCAAATAGTCTTCACTTGAAAGATTTCCCACACAGGGTTCCTTTGGCCTTATGGAAGTAGTGGAGGTGGGAACAGAGAAACAAATATAACAGAGTTACAAGCTGCTGCCTACAGAGGTCATTCAGAAGTAAAGATGTCATACAAGCGAGCATGAGTTCATGGAGTAAAATAGTGGATTTCAGGCAACTCTCAGAAATGTGTTTAGCTGAAATTGAGAAAGACCTTGTCTCCATGCATAGCCCAGGTGCTACTGTCATAGGTAATAGAGACTTTGGTGGCCCAAAGAAATCCTGCCACTTACAAATTCCCCCAAACGTAGATAAGTGTGTGAGAACATGGGGCGCCGGGCTGAGAGGGCACCAGAGCCTTGCTCAAGGAGCCCCAGATGTCCTGGTTCTGATTTATTGTTCTCACAGCCTTCAAAGCCTCCCAGGACCTGCCGCTGAGGGCTCTGCAGCGGAGTTTCTGGGTTTGTGGGGCAGGGCGGTGGGGCGGGACATCACGCCTCCCCCTCCGCCCCAGTGTTTCCGAATCCAGGGCCAGGACCCTCAGGACCGGGTGAAGTGGTCAGAGGCACAGTTCTCCTGTGAACAGCAAGAGGCCCAACTGGTCACCATTGCAAACCCCTTAGAGCAAGGTAGGGCCAGCCCATGGGAAGGCCCCAGTATCCCCTGACACGATCCCTCCCAAGATGGCTAGAGCTGAGCGAGCAAGAGGCTGCTGCCCTGTCGCTCATAATTCTCTCTTCTGGGGGGCTGTAGCGTTCATCACAGCCAGCCTGCCCAATGTGACCTTTGACCTTTGGATTGGCCTCCATGCCTCTCAGAGGAACTTCCAGTGGGTGGAGCAGGAGCCTCTGCTGTATACCAACTGGGCACCTGGGGAGCCCTCTGGCCCCAGCCCTGCTCCCAGTGGCAACATACCGGTGAGGAAGCCCCTCCCTCTGCACCCCCACCCCAGCCTGCCGCACTTGCCTTCACTCCCGGGGTCCCCCTCTCTTGCAGCCTCTTTGCTCAGAGTGGCACAAGGGGAGAGCTGCCGGGGCTCCCCTGAGCAGTTCCTTTCCCCCAGACCAGCTGTGCGGTGGTCTTGCACAGCCCCTCCGCTCCCTTCACTGGCCGCTGGGACGATCGGAGCTGCACGGAGGAGACACATGGCTTCATCTGCCAGAAGGGCACAGGTACGTGTCACCCGCGAACTTGGAAGACATCAGCACTGGGGCCAGATGCTGTGGGCCATGCCAGGAGGACTGAAACATAGTCTCATAGACCCAGGACCCCCCCTGAGGTCACCTCCAGAGTCTAATCTCTGCTTGGGAAGCAGATGGGCAGAAAGGCCAGGCGCCAGTCAGAGGAAAAGGCAGTGGAGTGCCGAGGGGTCTCGGGAGGAAGGTTTGGGGGGTACGGAGGGCTGACAAGGGGCAGCTAGACACTGCACCTGCCTAGTGTCAGGAACCTGAAGTTCTGCGTCTGAGGCGCCTGTGGCCCCATGCGTGTTCTGTGTCGGTTCCTGGGGTAGGACTAGGTCAAGGCTCCAGCTTGCTTCTCTGTTTATCAGCGAGAATCTATTGTTAGTAATAGTGGCTAACACTTCCTGTTAGTCTGTGCCAGGCACCATGCCCGACAGGGACCTGGTCTCTGCCTGACGGCTGGAGCTCCCTCAGCTTCGTGCCTGGGAGTGGGGTGGGGGAGGCAGAGCCTGGCCTGAGCTCCGTCCCCTTCCCTGTAGACCCTTCCCTGAGCCCATCCCCAGCAGCAGCGCCCCCTGCCCCGGGCACTGAGCTCTCCTACCTCAACGGCACCTTCCGGCTGCTGCAGAAGCCTCTGCGCTGGCACGATGCCCTCCTGCTGTGTGAGAGCCGCAACGCCAGCCTGGCCCGCGTGCCTGACCCCTACACCCAGGCCTTCCTCACGCAGGCTGCCCGAGGGCTGCGCACCCCACTCTGGATCGGGCTGGCCAGTGAGGAGGTGGGCCCCCAACGCCTGTCCTGGCGCCGGGCCGGGGACCGCTCCCCTGATTTCCCTCCCTGTCTCCTCTCAACTCCTTGCCTTACCTTACCCGCCTTCCCCCACCCGCTGGCCCCCTTCCTTGCACCCTGATGGCCTCCTCGTGCCCAGGGCTCCCGGCGGTACTCCTGGGTCTCGGAGGAGCCGCTGAGCTACATGAGCTGGCAGGACGGGGAGCCCCAGCAGCCGGGGGGCTGCGCCTACGTGGATGTGGATGGGGCCTGGCGCACCACCGGCTGCAACACCAAGCTACAGGGCGCTGTCTGTGGCAGGAACAGTGGTGAGTGCCCAGCCGCTGGGGCCAAGGGGCGGACAAGGCGCTCTGGGACGCTTCTTCAACCCTGCACCCTGCACCACAGGGCCCCCTCCTCCCCGAAGAATAAGCTACCACGGCAGCTGTCCCCAAGGGCTGGCCGACTCTGCCTGGATTCCCTTCAGGGAGCATTGCTACTCCTTCCACATGGAGCTGCTGCTGGGCCACAAGGAGGCGCTGCAGCACTGCCAGAGAGGTGGGCTGGGGCCTCGTGGGTGGTGTGTGGTCTCTGCCACCCCCCCCCCCCCGGGGAGACCTGTCTGCCCTGACATGGACCTCTCTTGTGTCCAGTGGGTGGGGCAGTCTTATCCATTCTGGATGAGATGGAGAACGTGTTTGTCTGGGAGCACCTGCAGAGCTCCGAGGGCCAGAGTCGGGGTGCCTGGCTGGGCATGAACTTCAACCCCAAAGGTGGGTATCTTGTGTGTGGCCTTGGGAGGGTGAAGCCTCAGGGTGGAGGGGGAAAGCCCTCCACCAGGGCTTGGTGGGGGTGAGGACCTGGGGGGGGGGGCATTGGTTCTAGAACAGGCCTGCTCTCTTGCATCCGCTCCTGCTCTACCTTGTCTCCTCCCCCACCCCCCCCACGCCCTCTCAGTGACTTGTTTCCCCCAGGAGGCACTCTGGTCTGGCATGACAACACAGCTGTGAACTACTCCAACTGGGGGCCCCCGGGCCTGGGCCCCAGCATGCTGAGCCACAACAGCTGCTACTGGATCCAGAGCAGCAGCGGCCTGTGGCGCCCGGGCGCCTGCACCAACATTACCATGGGCGTCGTCTGCAAGCTGCCTCGAGGTGAGCGCCCTGTGGCCGCAGGGCCTCCTGCCGCCCCCACACAGGCGGCGCTGGGCCTCGGCCAGGGGCCTGCTTCTCATTCCTCCAGAGACGCAGCAGATGGGAGGGTGGGCCCCCACAGGCCCTGGGCCGCCAAGGACCCTCCCCTGGGATAAATTGGTCTGTAGGAGGGCTGGCCCTTCCTACAAATTTCCAAACTAGACAGCAAACCCATCATTTTGTAGCGGTTAAGGGCAGGAACAAGGTTCAAGCCCCGGGCAAACCACTTTACCAACTCCGTGACCTTGGGCAAGTTAGTTAAAACCTGTGGACTCAGTTTCTTCATCTGTAAAATAAGGATAATAACAGTACCTATGAAATTAAATGAGCTCAGAACGCGGCTGGCACTCAGGAAGTGCTCGCTACACATTTTCTTATTATTCCTGTTAACGACTCCGGTTATTAACTGGTCCCTCCCTCTTCCACACAGCTGAGGAAAGCAGCTTCTCTCCATCAGGTGAGTCCACGGCAGGGCCGAGACCCGCCCTCACCCCGCTTTTCCGTGCGTGCAGGGCAGTGGGCGGACGGGTGGCCTCTCCCCTGAGTGTCTGGCTTGCCGCAGCAGCGCTTCCGGAAAACCCGGCAGCCTTGGTGGTGGTGCTGATGGCCGTGCTGCTGCTCCTGGCCCTCCTGACCGCAGCCTTGATCCTCTACCGGCGGCGACAGAGCGCGGAGCGGGGGACCTTCGAGGGCGCCCGTTACAGCCGCAGCGCCTCTGGCCCTGGCGAGGCCACTGAGAAGAACATTCTGGTGTCTGACATGGAAATGAATGAGCAGCAGGAGTAGAGCCAAGGGCGTGGGCAGGGCAGGGACAGGAGGAGTGGGGAGGCTGGGCCCTGGGTCAGCGGGGGGCCCCCACCAGCCACCAGCCCAGGTAGCTTATGGAGGGCTGCCTTTGGGAGCCACTGCCGGGCACTGGGGCTGAGCAGGGCCTGGCTGGTGGGGTCCCTCCCTCCCATGAGCGTTGGGCTGAGACCTGGCTGAGTGCAGAGTGGTGTTTCCCTTTTGGGGGCCTAAGGTCTTGTCACCTAGGCCTGCGCCCCCATGGTGACCAGAAGCAGGACGGGAGCCTCTTTCTGCCCCTTTCTCCCCAGGCCCCCCTGCCCGGGCCTGCTGACCCACGCCCCAGGACCCCCTTCTCATTGCAGAACCTGAGGGTCCTCCCCTGAGCCCTCAGCCAGCCTCTGTCGCTTCTCTCCTCCCTGGCAGCCTTGGCTCCGAACCCCTCTCTCCCGCATTCCCTCTCCCTGCTTCTCATGCAGCCCTTCCTTCTGAGCCAGAGCCCCAGGGTTTGGGGAACCCTGTTGCTCATGGTGGGTGTCACCTGAGGGAGCCAAGCATCTGTCACTCCTGTGCCTGCTGGGGTGGTCCGTGGGGCATGGCAGGAGGGGCCTGGGCTGGGCTTGAGAACCAGGGCACCACTGGGGTGTCCGCTGGGCTGGAGACAGGACTGGGAGAGACGCCCTGACCTCCTGAGGGTGACCGGGCTGAAGTGTCATCTCCTGCCGGTTAGGGGAGGGCTCTGTCCCTAAAGAGTCCCCTGTGGGGACCAAAGTAAGTTCCTTAACGTTTCCAGCTCTTGGCTCTGGCTGGGAGAGGAGGGGGTTGCCAGAGTCCTAGGGGCCTCAGAAGCAGGAGGCCGCCCTCTAGTGGGGCCCAGAGGAACAGTGCCCAAGCTCCGGGAGGGGCCCAGTCCCAGGGCGCTGACTCAGTGCCTTCCGGAACCCTGGCGGGGGGGCTGGGGCAGACGGCCAGTCCCTGTGCCACGGCACGGGGCAGTGTGAACACAGACTCAAAGACATGGTCCTTTTTTTGTAGCTCTTAATTTTTTTTTAATGTGCCATTATTGTGAAAAAAAAGAAAAGAGAAAAAAGCAAACAAATAAAACACCTTTAAGAGGCTTGAGAGAGGAGGGTCCCTACTTCGATCTGTTGTCAAACCTTGTTCCTCATACGGCCTCTGAGCTAAACGTCGCATTTGGAGTTCGCGTCATGTAGTCTTTTCTGCAGTCTGCCATTTTGCTTCTATGTCTGGGCCCCATGGAGACCCCTGTGCCCTTGTCTCTTCTTCTGGGCCCTTGCCTTCCTGGGGCTGCTTTAGGGATATTTGAGGATTAAATGAGATCATCTGTGCAAAGCGGTTAGCCCAGCACCTCGGAGCTCAGGCAGTAAATGTCCCATATATGGCAGCTGTGACTTGCTTCTGGGCTGCGGCTCCCAGGGCAGTCTTGGAGGTGCGCAGGCCAGCCCTGGGCAGGAAGTTGCCCCTCACCATCTTCCCAAGGCAGCCGCCATACCTGCCTCGGAGCTTCGAGAAAGCGCACATGTGTTCTTGGGGAGCTCGGGGTCTGAAACCCCCCAGAGGCGGGGGAGTGTGTGGTCTGCAGGACCTCTCTCCCACCAGCGTTCACGCAGGATATTAGAGCTGGGGACAGAGCAGCGAACAGAGAGAAGGCTCTGCTAGTAAATGATGGTCAACGATGCCAGGTACGTGCTAGGTGCTGTGGGGAAGACTGAAGTAGGCCGTGGGAAGGGGGTGTTAGTTTGAACCGGCTGGTGGGGTAGCATCGCATCAGAGGAAGGGAGATGAACCTGAAGGAAGTGAGGGAACGAGCAGTGGAAACATCTGGGCAGGTCCAGGCAGGGGTCTGGGCCCTGCCGTGTGGTGGGCTCTGGTGCTTCAGAGGACCAGCCAGGAGGCCAGGCTGGCTGGAAGGTGGGGAAGGGGAGTGTGGGGGAGTCCAAGGCCTTGAAGGCAGTGGTAGAGAGTATGGATGTTGTTTGAGGCATAGTAGGAAGTCGGTGGAAATGGCTAATCCGACTGTCCTTTGAAGATGGTGGTGCGGATGAATACCTCGGCGCGGTCAAGTTCTGGGCGCCGGCACGTATTACATGCATGCTTTACCTTGTTTGTGACTTTTAAAAACAAGTTTCTGTTTTTTTTCTGAATAGGTGGTAACATCACATGGTTCAGGGTCTAAACCTAAAGAGTAGGAAAAGATACACTTTGAGAAGTCCAAAGCTTTTGGCCCGGACAGCAGGGTAAATTCGGTGCCATTATTTGAGCGGGGGGCAGGGGCCCGAGGTTGGGCTTGTGAGCTGCTTCTCTGAATCCATGACTGAGGCCAAACCTGTGGCCCCCCCTCCAGCTCTCGCCTCCCTGCAGTGGCTCTCCTGACAGGCAGCAGCAGCGGCAGCAGGACCCGCGGAGGGATCTGGTCACTTTGCGGGGGGGGGGGGGGAGCCCCAATCCCACAGGGGAAGGGTCCTTAATGATTAATCCACTTCACCCTGAAGTGATTTGCTCTCCAAATTGGGGAGTGGCTCCCTTTGTGCTTTAAGTGCCCTGCCACTATCTGCAGCTCAAAAGACTGCTTGACCAGGGGCCGCAGGGAGCCACCTTGGGGCAGAAGCTCGCTCAGAAGCCTGCTGCTGACCCCTTGCCCTGGGAAAGAAAAAACACTGAGGGGTGAAGGCAAGGTCACAGGATCCCTGGGGATGGGAGGAGCAGCCGAGGCACTGAGGACACAAATGCCCGGTGCTGCCTGGGGGTAGTGATGGTGAGTGTCCAGAGGTTTAAATCATTCTAGAAATACCTGTCCTGGCTCCTCTACCCTTCCCTCAGGTGGCTGTAGTTCTCACCAGAGTCCTGGTCCCCAGCCAAAAGCGGGGCTTCACAGGCATCTGGGGGCTCCCTGCAGACTTTGTTCTTTATGCCTGGGGGCTCCTGCTGGCCCAGAGGAAGGTAAGGGGCGGCTCTGCTCTGTCAGGGCAGGAAGAAGGCTCTGGGCTGGGAGCCACTTCCCTCGGGCTTCCGATCTTTGCTGGTTCTGATGGAGTCCGCGCTGTCTTTCTGTTCCTTTCAAGTCAGTAAACGCAGTCCCTCTCTGCCGGGGGTGGGCTCTCATCCCGGGGGGCCTGGCAGAGGGCACTGTGTGCCAGGCAGCAAGGCCAGCCTTCACCTGCAGGGCTAACCTGGCCCAGCTCTGGCCCCCTGGATGTTCAGTGACCGCTCACTGAATCCATGAATGAACAGGAGAATGGGGCGCCCCCCAGAGAACAGTGTCAGGCCTTTTCTCACAATCTCTCCTTGTCGAGGCAGGGATGGCCTTCTCCCAGGTGTCCTGGCAGAGCTGGGCTGGCCCAGTGGGCAGCACTATGAGGCCGCAGGGGTGAGGAGCCAGCCAGCCACACCACATGGCTTTCCTGGAACGGGGCTGCCTGAGCCCTGCCAAGCTGCCTCGGGCACTGAGGCTCCAGTGTGTGACAGGGACAAGGTAAAGAATTGCATCTTGAGGGCAGACCGGAGAAAGAAGGGCAGGAGGGGAAAGGAGAGGAAATAGGGAGGGGCCTCAAGGGCCGACAATGATATCAAAGTGCCCAGATGGTCAGGCCTTTATCTTTGGGCTCAGGGCTGCCAAGAGGCCCCAGGCAAAGGCTGACCTCAGTCTTGACTGCCATTGGAGTCGGCACAACCCGAGGTGTGGATCTCAGTTCTTCCTTGTCCGGGAAGGCAGGCGGGCAGCCAGCCCTGGAGGGAGGAAAGGAGCTAAGCAGCGGGCAGGCACCCCCCCCCCCCACCAAAATGGATTCATCACTGGCACTCAATGCAAAAAATCGACTATCTTCTGATATCAGCAGATGGCGGAAGTTTAGTTTTAGCTGTTTCCAGGGAATCCTGCTCGGCTAAGGCTTTCTGGTCCGCTGGAAGGTTTTCCCCCTTCCCTCCCCGGCACCTCTAAGTTCTGTGGTCCTTTGGAGGGTCCTGGGACACAGTCCCTGGTCTTTGCATGTCTTTGCTGGTTGCTAAAGAGATGCCCTTCGTTTGCTCTTTTGTGTCTCTCTTTGGGACTTGGGAAACTTTTGGATGGTGTTTTTCCTTACACAGGGACTGCCAGGGGCTCAGGACACTGCCTCAGACACGCCATTCCTCCATGATAATGATAAAACCCAAAATATTCACTTGAGTATTTACTACGTGCAGCCCCGTTCTGTTTGCCATGACTTAACTCATTTTATCCTTTTCAACACACCATAAACAGGTGAGGAATGGAGGCCCAAGAGGGGAGGACTTGCCATGTCACCTCTCCCCCCCACCCCTGCTCTATAGGCATTGTGGTGGGGTCAGCCACAGGGATGGAGAGCCCTGGGATCTTGCAGCCAGGCTCTCTGAGACTCAAGAATTTTGTCTCAACCTATCATCTCTGCTGAGGGTTTCAGAGGCCTATTTTGAGATCAAGGGTGGAGAAGGACAGCTTTCTTTTTGCCCTTCCAAGGCAGTGAGGAGAGAGACATGGGTAGCCTGGGCTGAGGTAGGACTGTGGGATACAATACACGATGCATGGAATTGCATGGAACACACAGAAATAAGGTAGGGACTCGGTTGATATATTAGACATTTGCAAGGTTAGGGATATTTTATAGCTCCTATTGGCCTCCTCAGTGGCCATCGAGTCACCAAGGTGCTGTTGTGACAGGGCCCCCTCCCCTCTTTTCTACTGCCTGTTCTTCTGGGTCCTACTCTTCACTGTGCCAGCCCGGGATGTGGCTAGGGAAGCCCCCTGCTGCCTGTGAGTGGACTCTCAGCTCCCTGTCTTGGCCCCAGGGTCCCCCGGCTCCCTTGCACAATGAGCCCTTTCTAGCCAGTGGCTCCCGCCGCACCCGACATCTGTATGTGCCCCCGCCTGCCCTTGCCGTCACCACCTCTCTGCTTACCTGAGCTCCACTGTCCTTCAAGGCCCCCTTCTCCTCCTCAAGCCTTCCCTGCACCCTTGGCCCTCCTGGAACTGGTTAAGGATGTTACCCCTTCTTTTAGGCGGTCTAGGAGCCTGGCTTTGGCCAACAAACTGACTTCGTCCTGTAGACTTCGGTGCATCACATGAGATTAGGTTTGCACTGGTTAATTTTATGCATCAATTCGATTGGGCTAAGGATGCCCAGATAGCTGGAAAAGCATTACTTCTGAGTGTGTCTGTGTTTCTGGAAGAGAGTAGCACGTGAATGGGTAGGCTGAGTAAAGAATACCTCCTTCTCCAGTATGGCCGGCCATCACCCAATCTGTTGAGGGCCTGAATACGACAAAAAGGCAGAGGAGGGGTGAACATTCTCTCTGCTTCAGCTGGGACATCCATCTTCTCCTGCCCTCGAGTCAGCTCTCTTGGGTCTTAAGCCTTCAGTTTTTGGTGATTTTTTTTTTTTTTACGATTTTTATTTTTAAGTAATCTCTACACCCAATGTGGGGTTCGAACCCACAACCCTGGGATCAAGGTGTGACCGAGCCAGCCAGACGCCCCTGGCCTTCAGGGTTGAACTGCAGCTACTCACTGGCTTCATTGGGTCTTCAGCTTGCATATGGTAGGCGGTGGGACTTCCCAGCCTCTGTAATTGCATGAGCCCATCCTTCAGAATAAATCTCTTTCCATATATTTATAAATATACCCTGCTGCTTCTGTGTCCCTGGAGAACCCTAATACAGGTTTCCTCTCAAGCATTGTGGGGTTAATAATATCTGCCTCCCAAGCTTATTATGAGTCCCCAGGCCCAGTTTATAGAAAATTCTCTATAATTGGCATCTGTAGGTTCATATTACCTTGATTTGACATTTTCTGTATCTGTCCTATTGCCCCAGGAAGCCTATGCTCCTAGGGGGTGGGTGTCATTCATTTCTCATTGTGTCCTCACAACCTGGCACATGGTTGATGGTTGATAAATGTTTGAAGGTCATGGTGAAGCCAAAGGCTTAAAAAAAAAGTCTATGTTCCATCCACTGTGTCTCAGCCTCTAATAGATTCTGACAATATTTACTTAGTTAGAAAGGGGCCAGGTAGCCCTTTTCACCAGGGTCTTTTAATAAATGAGACTTGATCTTTGGGGCACCTCAGGCCATGAGAGGCCCCATCAGAGGACCCCTGGGCCACAGCAATGTTGAATTAATGGTGCGGGTAGATATTAGTTCTACTGTGTCTCTCCAGACCTCAGAGGAGGCATTGTGAGGCACCCAAGGATGGTAAATCCTTGAAATAGTTTTCACAAAGTCAACGTTGGCTGATGTAAACCTGTCATGGTCTCAGAGTGGCTGCCTCAAACACTGTCACATCTTATAGTGGACTTGGCCTGTCAGAATGTTTATACGGCCACCTCGGATGCTGTCAATCTGTCTATAAAACTTATTTTTATTTAATTAACTTATTTATTTGAGAGAGTGCCCGCAAGTAGGGGGCGGAAGAGAGGGGGAGGGGGGAGTGAGGGGGGCGAGAGAGAGAAAGAGAGAGAGAATCTTAAGCAGACTCCACACTCAGCACAGAGCCTGATGTAGGGCTCTATCCCATGATCCTAGAATCATGACCTGAGCTAAGGTCAAAAGTTGGACACTCAAATGACTGAGCCACCCAGTCGCCCTAAAACTTATTTTTAAATATGTATTGTTCCTACTTAGCCATTTCTCAGTATTGGCTCCTGGACAAAACTTTTGTCTTCATTCAGCCTTTGAGTGCAGTTGAAAAATAAAGGCCCATTTTCTCACAGAATGATGAGGGCGTGAGGCTGCATTTGTGAATGGAAGAATTTGAGGTTTTAGTTTTATTTACATCAAGGAGAGGTTTTCAACTGGAATGGCTCTGTAGGTTCTGTTAACATTCAGAAGCGTCCCTTGGCTCTTGGTGCTAGGCTGCCTGGCCACACCCACCAGTTTGCGGTAATAGAGTCACTTTAACTGTGGATCGTGTCAGGGATGGACAAGCTTTTGAGGGAATTCAGTCAGACCCACATTTCCTAAAACGCTGCTGGCACCATCGCTCATCTCCGGTGAGACCGTCTTTGCGGCAAAATCTGCAATGGCCGCTCCTGGTCTTGGAAGGTGGGAGGGAGAAACCCCTCTTCTCATTTTCCCTTTTTCTCTCCTGCCTCTCTCTCATTCTCTGTCTTTTCCTCCATTTTTAAAATGTTTTAGGGGCGCCTGGGTGGCTTAGTCGGTTAAGCGTCCGACTTTCACTTAGGTCATGATCTCGCGGTTCGTGGGTTCGAGCCCCGCGTCGGGCTCTGTGCTGACTGCCAGCTCAGAGCCTGGAGCCTGCTTCAGAGTCGGTGACTCCCTCTCTCTCTGACCCTCCCCTGCTCACGCTCTCTCTCTCTCTCTCTCTCCTAGAAATAAATAAAACATTAAAAAAATTTTTTTAAATGTTTTATTCATTTCTAGGAGAGAGAGAGAGGCAGTGTGAACAGTGGAGGATCAGAGAGAGAGGGAGACACCGACTCTGAAGCAGGCTCCAGGCTCTGAGCTGTCAGCACAGAGCCCGACGCGATGCTTGAACCCACGAACCGTGAGATCATGACCTGAGACGAAGTCGGACACTTAACCGACTGAGCCACCCAGGTGCCCCTTTTCCTCCATTTAAAAAAAAGAGATATTGAGGCGTATTTTACAGTTACACCTCAGCGTTCACCCTTTGTGAGCGGCCAGTTCAAGGAGCGGTAGTGAATTTGTCCAGCCGTGGCAGCAGCGTGAGGACCCAGCTTCAGAGCAGACTCCTCACCCACATCCTCTTGAGCCCACGTAGTCTCTCCTTCTAGTCCCAGTCCTGCCACCGCTGATCTGTCTCTATAGTTTGGCCTTTTCTAGAAATTGTGTGTAAATAGAATCCTACAATGTTGTCTTTTGTGCCTGGCTTCCTTCACTTAGCATGTGAAGTACTGCATACCCACCATCTTTTATTATTTTTTTGACCTTTGTCCTGCTCTCTCTCATATACACACAAACCTTTTCTGACCTTTTTAAAAATTTTTTTAAAAAATGTTTATATTTGAGAGAGTACCTGACTGGGGAGGAGGGGCAGAGAGAGAGGGAGACACAGAATCCAAAGCAGGCTCCAGGCTCTGAGCTGTCAGCACAAAGCCTGATGTGGGGCTCGAACTCAAGAACCGCAGATCATGACCTGAGCCCCCTGACCGTTTTTTTGTTTGTTTGTTTTTGTGTTTTTAATCTCACGTCTTGGTTTTTGGGCCCTAAGGTGTCAGTAGGAGAGTATTGTAAGGTCCACACACTAAGCCTGACCTAAGTAGTAGGCTGGCCATTCAGCCTGTCACAGTCCCCAGGGTCCAGGATGTGCCACTGTAATGGCGAGGAGCAAGGAGAGGGGGTGGGGAGAGGGCTGAGATACACTTACATCTCCCCAGAGTTTGAGGCCCTGAGCCTTTGCCCAAGGGGACCAAAAAAAAAAAGAAAGAAAGAAAGAAAGCAAACAAGCAAGCACAAAAGGAAGCTGGGTGAATAAAGTCAGTTTACTGAAGATGTGGCTTGATTCCACTCAGGCGGAGGAAGGCCTCCAGGTACCTGCCCTTGGCAGAGGGCCCCCGGGCTGCTGAGTCACCTGCGGCTTCTGGCTGAGGGGGGCCAGCAGCAAGGCAGCCTGCAGGGACCCAACAAGCCCCGGGCTGTTTGGCTTGTGCTGGCTGGGACTGCGCTGGTCGCTGCTGCGGTCTTTGTATTGCTCAGGCCAGACCCTGAGAAGAGAGGGGCACAAAGGGAAACCGGTAATGCAAACACTTTGGCTTCCGTTTCAGTAAAGAGGAGGAGGAGGAAGGGAGGCACATGGGGTCGTAGAAGAAGCGGCTGTGGGGCGGTGTCTTTGCGGAGCTCCCGGACCAGCTCCCTTGCTAGACAACGTGGCTGCTGCTTTCACTTCCATCCCCCAGCTCGGAATCTGGAAAGGAAGAAGGTGTCTCAGGCTGTGGAGCCATGGTGGACAGCGACATCCCTCAGCGGGGGTGTGGCTGGGCTTCCCCTCCTGCCCCCACCCCAGCAGCTGTGCCCGGGCATTCACATATGCGCACACACACACACACACACACACACACTCTCAGTCACTCACTCACCTACTGCCAGACACACACACACACACACACACACACACTCACTCACTGCAGTGCTGGCAACACTGGGAACCCTCGAATGCCCCTGGGGCCTTCCAGCCAGGCCAGCGCAGAGGGGACTGTGAGCCCCTCAACAAAAGCACCTTAGTCCACATCCTCACCTGACCCGTGCGGCAAATGTTTGCAGACTGAATCCTTGGAGGAGTCTTGCCGCCTCTCAGGGTAATGGTCCCCCATAAACCCCCACTTGCTTAGCTGGGCATGGGAGAGGGTTGACCTAGGTCTTTAAGAAATCTTTCAGAGATCAAATGGCTGGAGGTAGAGGGTCCTGTGATGGAAGGACGGGTAGCAAAGAGGTGGTGGGGTGGCAGTGGGGGCCGTGTGGAGGAGGTGGAGTATGGGGGGTCATCTTTATTCTTGGGGGAGCTCTTGGTCCCAATATACTTTTCCCATTGGCATGAGCAAGTGCTCCCTGACTTCTGTGGAAACCACTGAGGAAGGGCAGGGGGTAGGAGCAATTGACAGCCCCCCCCCCAGTGCCTACCTGGGCCCTCTGTGCCTCTGTCTTTGCTACAAGGAAGCCCCAGCCCACGAGCTGCCCCTGTGCCCTGGCCTATTCTGTCCATTCCCCCAAAGCTAGTTGCCTTGACTTGCACCTATGGGGGTGAGGTAGGTGGTCTGGCCCAGCCTTTGATCTGGACTTTCAAGCCTGCACCTGTCCACACCTGTACAGATGGCTGCAGGAGGCATTGTTCCCCTCCGAGGCCTCGGACTTGGCTGTGGTGACAGTCATTTGTGCCAGCTGGGAAGTGCCTGTTAGGGGGGCTGGGTCACAGAGCCATATGGCAAGTGGTGGAACTTGGGCGCACCCACTCAGGAACTGCCTTTACCTGGGTGCTACTGGTGGCATTTGTGTGCTCCAGGTACAGGGGAGGGGGGAACCCAGTGGGAAGGTTGGCATGGACACCACAGACCCTCAAAGAGGTTGGCGTCTCCTTGTGCCATCTGGTGAGCCCCTATGTTTTGTCTTTTTCCTCCCTTTTTACCTAAACTGAGCTAGGGCAGCAGGTCACAGGTGTGACTCGGTTCTGGCAACCCAGCTTAACTAACTGCTGCCAAGCAGGTGAGCCAGGCCAGGCTGCTGGGAAGCAAAGGAGAATGTGGCCAGAGGAAGATGGGAGGCTTGTGCATCTGCCTCTGGCTGCCCCGACTTGTCTTGATCTTGGCCCCCGATGGCGGCCAGCCAAAGCGCGGCACCTGACCAGCATGCCAAGATCGCCCCTGTGTGCAGGATCCTCCTCCATCGGGGCTGTACCCCCCAGGGTCGGGAATGGTGGAGGGAGAGGACCTAGACCCAAATTTCCAGGGGAGCACTGGCTGGCCCCCGCGTTGGGGCGGATCCTAACAGCTAGTCCCAGCTTCCTAGAGGGGAGGGCAAGTGATGATCAGCGGGACCATCTGCCTCTGAGCTACGCAGGGGGGCAGCAGCGCAGCGCCAGGCACTTGCAGGGAGGGCTCTCGCAGGTCTCGGTGGAGACTCGTTTTTTAAAGCAGCGCCCCAGGGATGCTCTTCTCTCGCTCTCCGGAGGGGGCAGGCTGCGGCCCGGGTGAGGCCGCCCCCAGACTCCCGGGGAAAGGCTGCGTCCCCGGGACCGCAGGGCGACAGCGGTCCGCGCTGGGCACTAGGGGTCGCCCCCGCCCAGCCCAGTCCAGTCACCAGGCGTGCGGGCCGCGGGTTTCCCGGGATCAGGAAGAGCCGCCGGCGCCTCCGGGGCGGGAGCTGGGAGGGGCGCCGCCGCCCTGCCGGGAGCCGCGGTCCCCCCGCACCCCCTCCCCCCCGCTCCTCCCTGGCCGGAGATGGGCTCCGGCCCCGGAGGGCGGCCCCGGCCGCGCCCTTTCGGAGCAGGGGCTCTCGCCAAAAGCCGCCGCTGGGACCTGCGAGCGAGGCGCAGAGGCGCTTTCCCCAAGACACAAAGGTCTTTTCTAGATCTCCCCGCTCCCTTCCCGGCTGCCGCAGGGGGAGCAGCGGCCCCGGGACCTGGCGAGGGGGCGCGAGGTCCTCACCCGGCGCTGGGGGACACCGTGGCGCGCGCCCCGAGCTGGCGCACTGGGCTCCTTTTGTGAACAGAGGGAAGCGTCCCCTCCCCGCGTCCCTGAGAACTGTCAGCCCGGGTCCTCAGCGCTGCGTGCCCTGAATAATAAATTGGGTTCTCTGGGGTCGTATCCGGGCCCCACCCTGTGGGGCTTTGAGCTGGTTCGGGTTTCCCAAAGCATCGCCGTGCTCGGCTGCGTCGGGATCACCCGGGGTCCACCGCACGGTCTGAATCCGAATCCCTGGGAAGGGCCCAGGAATCTGCCCTTTGGGTAAATTGCCCAGGTGATTCTGATGGCGAAGCCGGGGTGGGAGTCGCCGTGCTAAACCTTCAACCTGCCTTAGGGCGGGCGGTTGTAAAATTTCTCCCCAGAAGAACTTCTGGAGATGGGATTGTCGCAGCCGCCTCAGTCCTCGGACACGTTTATTCTCCCTGCTGGTGGAGAAATCCTTCCTGAGTCTGGCTGCCAAGAAGGCAGCTGTACTGCCTCCTTTGAGGGACCTTTCTCTGGAGACCTGCTTTCCCCGGTTCAGCCTCTGAATCCCCCTGACCCACCTGACTGGACCATGTGGTGGGAGGATTCAGGACAGCCACTAGCCCTGAATGAATGTGGTCCCTTCCCGTGATGGCTCAACAGCTCCCTTCCATGGTTTCCAAGATAACTCAAGAGGCTCCCCAAGTACTGGAAAATCCCAGCACAGGCAAAGGGGGAAAAGCCTGTAGCCAGTCCTCCGGCCCACCTGACTAGCCCATCTTCCCTGTGGCTGGCCCTTGTCCTTGACTTTCAGGATGAGTTAAAATTCTTATCTGCTGTGCCCCCAGCCTACTCCGGCTCGCTTTCCCGACTGCTGCAGCTAGACTTTCCCAAGCTTGGTGGGGTTACTTTTGCCTCTGGGTGGTGGTCATTACTTCCTTCCATAATATGAGGTGTAACGCAGGGAAAAAGAGTAAGTTAGCAAAAACACCCTCAGAATGGCAGGGCTGAACCCCCAAACCTACTTTCATTTTCTTCCGGTCTGGGTTGTGGGTAATTTCTTGACAACTAGGAGAAAGAAGACAAATGAAAAATGAATTTTTTTTCCCCTCCAAAGCAATTGTGAACAGATGTATAATTCCCTAGTCTCAGGAATGTTCCAGGAATCCCTTATATCACCTTAAAGGGGCAGAGGTGCCAAGGGCAGTGTTGATACTCAGCACCTGAGGGCTCAGCCTCTTCTAAGGACAGAGGGGAGATGGCCCTGGTCACCTTTGCTGGTGGTTCAAGGCTTCTAAATGTGGCCATGTGCACAGACATGCTTCCTTTCAGCAATTGATCTGAGTAGCAGAATCCCATTCTCAATGGCCCGAATCACATCTACAAGCGTGGGGGTGAAGGCCATGCTAATTGGCCACTTGCCTCACCACTGGCTTTTAAACAATCGGTTGTATTCTCTGCCCGGCAGGAAGCAGCAGGCCCATCAAGGCTCTGGGCTCCCTCTTTGTTCTGACTTTATGGCATTTTATGCCACAATAAGAAACCCTGTGTACTCCGTGGGAGCCCATTGTGCCAGGCTGCAAGGATGTGGGCTCCTGTGTAGAAGGGCTGGTGCCCTTCCCCCAGCAGAAGAGGGGCTTTGTGACAGGCTGGAGGGTGTGCCAGACACTGTGTGGAGGTAGCTGTGGCCCCTGGGCCCCCATCACCTGCAGGCCAGGGGGAGGGCAGAAGGATGGACTCTGTCCCAAGTAGCAGTCCTGGGTGCCTGGTAAGTTCTGCATCAGGGCTGCGCTACCCACTGGCCCCATGCCCTCCGGGCTGCTGAGACGGCCTCACCCCTACCTAGACCCAGAGCCAGGTGACCGCATCTGTATGAGCCAGGCCTCATTCCTTAAGGAAATGCCATCTGGGTGAATACGGAAGTTTTCCCAAATGAGGGCCAAGCCTGGGCCTCAAATACTTTGGGTAGACTTGGTCCTTTGAGCCAAGAGTTTTGGGGTTTGTATGGAACAGTGTGAATGGGAGGGCCTGGAGAAAGTTCCTGTGACCTCCCACGGGAATGAGCCAGTGGGGTTTCAGAGCTCCTTCGAGACCCTGCCCGCCTCCTGGGCCGGCCGCTGCTCCCCCTGCCCCTCTTCCCAGTTTTACACGGGTGGACGTTTCCCTGCAGGTGAAATGTCAGTACAGCAGGGATGCGTGCTCACTCCAGGAGATCACAGGCGCTGTCACGATCCCTGGAAGGCCTGGGGTCCCTTCTACCCTTTGCCTTTTAGCTCATGGACCGAGATTGCCTCTATTGTTTGAGGTAGTTTATGGAAGTCAGCACTTAGGGGCAGAGGGGAGCTGTCATGGGCAAGCGGGGAGAGGAATTCAGGGTACGAGTACATTTCACTGAGGAAATGGAGGGCATGATACAGACAAAACCTATGGCTAGGAGAAAGCCCAGGGGGCTTTGGGGGTAAGGACCCTGAATAATGGAGTACCTCACAGGGGGAAGGAGAGGGAGAGAGGTGAGGAAAGGCGAGTCCATTTAGTGTCCCCACACAGGACAGCCCTGTGTACCCATCAGCTTAACAGGCAGCTGGTGGGGTCTTGAGTTCTCTGGAGATCCCTCCACCATGGGCATTTGGAAATGGCCAATTTTCTGCTGGGCCCTTGTAGAGAGTAACAGTCAGGGTTTCCTTCAGCCCGGACTTCACTCTGTACCCTCCCTGACTCCAGTGCCCCCACCTGGGCCCCCTAATCCATCCCACGACCCTTCACGCAGCTACTCCAGTTTTCACTCAAAAATGCAAATCTCCTGGCCTGCCAGCCTCAGGCTAGAGACCCTTCCACAGCCTTCCAGAGCTGCACACAAACTCTCCACCCCCTGCCCCCTGCCTCTGTCTCCACACTCACTTCCTGCCAGCCCCAGCCACACTCACCTCCTTGACTCTCTCAAACACACAAGTCTTCCTCATTTCTCTGAGCCTCTGCCTTTCCTTCTGCATGAATGCCCTTGCCCTCACCACCGACCCTTGTCCAGCTGCTAAACTCTCCAAGATTCGGTTCAGACAGCAGCCCCTCAGCTGATCGGGTGGGGAGAGCAGGAATGGAAGCAGCTTTGGCACCAGGCTTCCCAAGCAGTGGGAAGGCCAACGGCAAAGGGTACAACCCAACTGGATTAAAAGCAAGCCTCTTGAAACCTTAGCTCGTGTCTCTGAAAAACGTGCCTGGACAGTCGGTCCTGGAGAAGGAGTGGTAGGAAAGGGTGAGATCGGTGGTTCCTCCCATACCCCAACTGCTCTGTGCTCTTCTTCTTCTTTTTTTTTTTTTTAATGTTTTTTATTGATTTCTGAGAGAGAGAGACAGCGTGAGCAGGGGAGGGTCAGAGAGAGAGGGAGACACAGAATCCGAGGCAGGCTTCAGGCTCTGAGCTGGCTGTCAGCACAGAGCCCGACGCGGGGCTCGAACCCACGAACCGTGAGATCATGACCTGAGCTGAAGTCGGACACCCAACCAACTGAGCCACCCAGGCGCCCCTGCTCTGTGCTCTTCTGCACGTGGCTCCATCTTCCGTCATAAAGCACAGTTTTTGATACTCTTTGTTACATGCTTATCTCTCTTCAGAGACCCTTATAGGCAAGGAGTTTATATTCCCAGAATTTAGTTTAGAACCTGGCACATAGTAGGCATACAGAAATTCTTTGAATATAATAAATCTATATACCTTGCACTTGAGAGGGTTCCTTTATCTAGAATACTGTTTACTCTCCACAAGTTTGTGCTATCACGTTCTCTAAAACATAACTCAAAACTCACTTCCTGCAGAGTAGGTTTTGGTTTATTAGTTATTGATTTGAGCATCAAAGATTACTGAGCACCTACTATGCGCCAGGTATTTTCTAGGCACTGGAGGGTGGTGGGGCACAAAGAGAGATAAGAATTCCAAGCCCAAGCTGCCAGTGACCACCGCCCCCCCCCCCCCGCCCCAACCCCCAGCAGACCATGACCTCATTTGTCAGTCATTTAGCATTTTGTTAATCCCTGGAGTCCATAGTGCCTGGGACATGATCATCAAAGACGATTCACTGTATGCCCAGATCTTCAGAGAGGTGTAGAAGCCCTGGCTTTGCCTTCAAGTAACACAACCTCATGAAGAAGACAAATTGTTTGTTTACGGGATCACTGGAAACCCCAGAAGTCCCAGCCAGGGAAGATCTTGTTAATTCACAGCCTTTGGAAATCACTGGATCGACTGGTTCTCTTGACCAAGTGCTACTTTCCAGTTATTTCCAGTCTTTATAAATAGGTGAGTCTCATCTTCCCACTTGGTTGGAATGGGACAACATGGCATCCTGTCTGGCGGCCACTTTCTCGGATTCCCATCCCAGCACCTGATACGGGCCACGGCATGAATGAAAGAGTGAGTGAATGATCATGGCCACGGCCAAGCATTCATCCCCGTGTGTTTTAATGAGACACAACCAAGGAGCCAGATGTGAATGGGCTCTCCAGTTCTGATAGGTAAAGGAGAGAAGGGTTTTTTCCTCTAACATAGTGCCTTTTTTTTTTTTTTCTACGTGTTACCCTCAGATTCTTAGTATTTTCTACAAGAAGATACTGAGACTCAAATCCAGGAGAGTATGAATTTGACAAACACCATTTGTTTTCCTCCCTCCATTTGGGTCCCTCTCAACTGGCTCTTTGTACTGGTTATTGCTTGGTGGTTTTAGTGTGTGAGATCTATGTCAGGGTTTCTCAAATGAAATGGAAGCCTAAGAGCATTGCCCTGTCCATTCGGCTTCCTTCTGCCTTGGTTCCCAGATTGTTCCTGGTGTCACTCCTTCCTTCTCTAGGATAGTTTTACCAGAAAGTTCTATAGACTCAATGCCTTAGGGCCTTGGTTTTCACCCATGGGTTGTACTGTACATTGTCCTCTCCTGTTTGCCCTGCAGTCCCGGAGGCTAGCATTGCTTACATTAGCCTGCTGACGTTTTAGCCATCTGTCGCCTATATCAAATCCTGGGTGCTTTGAAGTTCAATGTGCAATAAAAAGTTCATTTAAAAAGATGTGGAATCATGAAAATAAGGTTACAGAAATGTTAACAAAGGATCGTTTCCTGCTTCCTGTCTTTTTTTTTTTTTTTAATGTAGTTCTCTGAGGAATTTATGTCACCATTAAATCTACGCAAGAGTTAAAGGAAGGACAGGCCTGGGTCAAAAAGAGGGTGAGATTCCTGAGAAGATATCTTGGCCAAGACCCAGCCTGTTTTCTTAATTGAGAGCTTGAGGTCTAAGGGGAGAATTTACACCAGAAAAAAAAAAAAAAAGGAGGGACAAATCTAGAACGCTTAGGACTAACGGTTTGAACCCAGCATTGCTAATAGGGATGGCTCAGTAGCCTGCTGCTGTTGCAAGGTCTGTGGCGGTGTCAGGACCCCTTGGAATCACTGGGTTCCAGTCTCTAGGCAGGCACTTCTTACCCTCTTGAGGAGGAAGAGGAGAGAGACAGGAAGTGGGGGACAGAGAAGAGAAAGTCAAGAGAAAGAGAGGTGCATAGGGAAGAGGTGGCAGAATGTCACTAAAACTGCCTTGTGAGACCACTGGTGGCTCGCCCATTGTGCACACTGCCTTGCTTTGCAGTCAGGACCTCCTGGCAAGAGCAGAGGTCAAGTTTCAAGCCTCGACGGCCGTTAAACACTAAAATCAGACCAATCCCTGGCATGACTTTAAGGTAAATGAGGTGCCCCTGTCCCGCTGCAGAGTGCGCTTTCCTGACCTGGCCGTGGACAGGCATTTAGCCAAGAGGGAAGTCCCTTGGGGCTCTGCGTTCTCACTGGACAGTGTCCAAATGTACATCTTGCTGGACTTTGCTAAGTCCAGGATCCAATTAGTAGCAGAGCCAGGCTTCTCCCTCCAAACTATGTGGCCTCCTAGAGGGTTCCTGGTTCTCTTGTTAAAGGAAGGGCAGCCCCAGATGATCATTCCCGGTAAATACATTGTCCCCTCTCTAGTGACAAATGGGACACGGCCGACACCTTTATTTCCTGGTCTAACACGTGCAGAGACACCGGAATAACACACTCTGGGAGCCACAGCAAAATAAACAGTTCTCCTTAGGGGAAGGCCCCTGTTTTTCACAGACCCTCCATGCTTGGGCCATGGGCACGCCTAACAACCTTGCCAGTCTCTGTTTTGGGGGGCAAATATCTGTAGAGACTCACTTGCTTACATGACCATGAATGACCATTTAATTGCTATTTTTGTTTAACAGGAAGCAATTGTGTGATTATCCCTTACTTTTCAGCCAGAAGGCCCACTGTGCTTTTGCTTAGGAGCCACTACATCTTAGTCCTAATTATGACAGTGCCATATTCCTACCAAGTGACCGTGAAGACCTCAACAGATTGCACATGTATTAAACGACGCTGCAAGGTTTAGGGACTGCTGCCGGACAGCCCGGGTCAGAGCCACACTCACCCTTTCTCTTACGACTCGGTTGTAGTTGCGTCTCATGAGTTCTGCAAACCTCTGTTCATAGAGGTGAAGCAGCAGCACCAGGTACAAGCCTGAATTCATCAGCTCATTTTGTGCCTAAATACGGAAAAGAGACTCCTAAGTGCGTCTGTAAACCATTCATGGTCTAAATCACAGGGTGGAGGGTAGTAAGGACCCCGGTAACAAGAAGTGGGACGAGAGCCCAACCCCCAAGGCAAGGCCTGCCTTTGGGGATCAGAGAACAGAGCAAGAGCGAGGGGGATTCAGGGTAGAAGCTGGAACTCTTTTTTTTTGTTTAATTTTTAATGTTTTATTTATTTCTGAGAGAGAGAGAGACACAGTGTGAACAGGGGAGGATCAGAGAGAGGGGGAGACACAGAATCCGAAACAGGCTCCAGGCTCTGAGCCGTCAGCATGGAGCCCAACACGGGGCTCGAACCCACGAACCGTGAGATCATGACCTGAGCTGAAGTCGGACGCTCAACCGACTGAGCCACCCAGGCACCCTGAGGCTGGAACTCTTTACTGCTTAGTGGAGGATGCCCTGGAAAAGCCCCGCGCTCCAGGCTCAGTCCCGTGCCATGAACGTTTATTGAGCAGGTATGCGTCGAGGCCGTGAGCCGGGTGTTGGGAACATGAGGTCCCGCCGGGAGCCCATCGTCTGATGTGGGACAGCCTTGTTCAGAGACAGTCCCGGTACCAGCTGCAGGTGTCACGTGCCACAGCGGAGATGCATGGGGCAAGAGAGACCAGTTTACTATGACCTGGGGAAGGCCCCTTGGACGGTCCCGAGTGGATGGGAGCGCGCTGGGTGGGCTCTGTGGGTTGGTGAGGGCCTTCCAGACACAGCCACTGAATGTCAGCAAAGGCGTAGGGGTGGAGAGAGCAGAGCACGTCTTGGGTAGCACTCCCTACTCACCAGTGTGGCTGGAGTATATGGGGAAGGTGTTTGTCTTGGGTTGAAAAGTTGTTTTGGCCTGGGCTGCGAGATGGGAGGTGGGAGCGTTATCAGGCAGAACCGAGTTTGGTTGCCCTGCTGTGTGTCTATGCGTGGCTAATGGCCCCTGAGCAGAGGAGTAAACACAATAAGATGTGCGTCTCTGGAAGGCAAACTCTTCTGTGCGAGAATTTGGAACACAGATGCCACGGACGTATTGTTTTCCTAGAATCCTTGTTTGTCCAGAGAAAAGTCCCCAGGCCTTAGTTCTATATGTTTCTCTCTCTGTAATTGGACTTAATGATGGTCTCACCTAAGGCCCCCTGGCCCTGGATGGTCTGTTAGCATTAAACTCCCCGAGAGTGAGCTGAGCATGTGCCCAGTAGAGTCCCAGATGGACTGTGAACCTCAGGGCCTTGGCTCGCCTCTTCCTCATTCCGTCAGTGGGCTTGTTTTGTGCTTCTGTTTTGAATGCCCACTTCCTCCTTTCACAGGACTTCCTTCACAGCATCTCCTCCTTGCAGAAGCCTTCCTGATGAACCTCTTTCGCTCTGATCATTCTTTGACTCCCTGATTCCTAAGTCTTTATGTTGTACGCTGCATCTTGCACTTGTTAATGTTTTTGCTTTTCCTCGGCGGGTGTGTTGTGTTTTATTTTTCTCGCGGGTGCTGGGAACACAGGGAGGTCAGCAGGAAGGGTCTGGCTGTCTGGCTGAGGACAGCTCCTCTGTCCTCAGTGCCTTTGGTGGTCTGTGCCGCAAGGCCTGTGGACCCTTCCTGGACCTTCAATAAATTAGGGGTGTTAGTAACCCTCCCCCTCTGCTTTGTTTCCCCACCTGGCCTCCCACCAAATCCCCATGGGATGGGAAGGGCCAGACCAAGCTCAGAAGCCCCTGGGATGCTAAAACCCCCTGGAGAGAACATGGTCCTCTGCATCACCCTGGGGGAAGGTCAGAAGTGTGACTATTTCCCTGAAGCTCAGACCTGACATGGTGACCACTCAGTGCTTTTCCATTCCTTCTGGGCCCATCTCCCTGTTCGCATTGCATCGATGGCAGCTCAGGAAGCTAGTGCAGGACACACCTCTTCCAGAACAAAACAGCTGCCAGAAGAGGTGCCCAGGTTGAGCAAGGATCGGAGCATTCTTTCTTCTGGATCAGGTCCAATTCTGGATCTTGACTATTGGCCCCAAGGTCACAGCTCAAGGCCCCTCCGCTCTCCCACAGACCTGTCTTTAATGGCTCTAGTCAGCTGTCCTTAGCAGTTAGCCTACTATTTTTAGCCTTTGGTCTTGTTTTCTATGCTCTCCTGACCTTGGCCTAGAGCGGGCAGAGAGGAAGTTGCTCGTTTTCACTTTTTTTCTACTTGCCTCCTCCCACCTGACTCCTTGCAGTCTGTCTCACAAGCTACCGCCTCTGGGAAGCCTTCCTAACCCACCCTTGGGCTCCTCCCTGCACACCCAGCCGTGTCCCTGGCGGTGGCCTCCCGCAAGCTGCCACTCGTTTTCTCTCCAGCACCCTCTTCGTCAGTAAGCCTTTGTGCTCAGACACTCCGATGCATAATGGCAAATCAATCAGCTAGAAAATGGCTTGGAACTATCAGGTTTGTCAAAGCATTCAGGGAAATCATTTACTTTTTATGACTCAATAAGGCCTGGAGGCATGCAGATGGGGAAAATATCCACTAATGTTTTCTGCAGATAATTTGAAAAGTCACTTCTAGCAGATTGTGTCTCTTCTCTGGCCTGTGGGAGGGAACCTGTCACGTGGCACCATAAATCTCACTGGCCGGGGCCCCTTGATGTGCGCCCTTTGCAGAGTGTGGGATGCGCCACAGAGGGGCTGGGCTGACCAATCAGAGCACGCATTTGCTGGTGAACTCAGTCATCTTCTGCTCCGAGCCACAAGTGGGAGGGACTTGTTATCAGAGAGAGTTCCAGGGCATTTGTTGGGCAAGGGCAAAATGAGCTAGGTTTTGGAGCGTTATTTTTGGTAGCTGCTCCCGACCCATTCTGGTGGGGCATTAACACCCATGTGCAGTGTAGGCAGGAGGTTGGCGCGGGGGCGGGGGTGGGGGAAGGAGGCTCGAAAGAAGGAGGCTCATGAAGCCATGGACACGAGCCCTGAAGAACTCAGGCTGCCTGCCAGATGTTTTTCTTTCTTTTCTTCCGCCTCCCCCCCAGCCCCCCTTCATTTTGTTAATATTCATTTGGGCCAAGAGATTTGCTACCTATGGAAATTCTAGAAGCAGACAGCCTGGCTGAATGTCCTATGAAGTCTTCAGATGTGTTCAAGAGATGCTCCCAGGTGTGAGGGTGATTAGGTGGCTGCGTGTGTCCAAGGACATCTGTCCGTGGCTGAGATGGAGCAAAGCCAGGCCTGTGCTGCAGAGCAATGACAGCCAGAGGCCCGCTGAGACCCTCCTGTGCTGCTGGGCAAAGAAGAGAGCAGCACATCTCCATCACGCAGTGGGCGTGGGCCCCCAGAGTGGGCAGCCTGGGGCCATCGAGTGCTAAGACTTTGGGCAGAGTTTGAACTGTGCCTGGCCAAAGTGACTCCATTTATAAAAAGGGGAGAAGTAAACTCTATCCTGCCTGTTTTCCCCAAGGTGTTTATGGCAAACTGAGCTATTATAAGTGGACGTGGTATTTTGCAAAACAAAAATATCCTGCAAGAGGCAGGAATGAAAGATAAGGACTCAGGGCAAGGGCCACTTGTGCCTTGTCTGGTCCTGTGCTCATGCCTAGCCCTGTACCCGGTACGTGGTGTGTATGCAATAAATATATGTACAGATGAAAGGATGACAAAAATGTATAATTTTGGACCAGACAGTGGCCCATTTAGCCATGTCTTTTGACCCTCGTCACTCCCAACTTGAATATGCATCTGAAAGGGCCTTCTAAAACATAGCTGCTGGGGATCACCTGGGTGGCTCAGTCGGTTAAGCATACGACTCTTGATTTCAGCTCAGGTCACGATCTCATGATTTGTGAGATCAAGCCCTAGGCTAGCATCAGGCTCCGTGCTGTCAGCATGGAGCCTGCTTGGGATTTTCTCTCCCTCTTTCTCGGCTCCTCCCCTGCTCTCTCTCTCTCAAAATAAATAAATAAACTTAAAGAAAAAAAAGTAGTTGCTGGGTACCACCTCTCCTCTTCCCCCAGATTCTGATTCAGTGGGTCTGGGGGATAGAGCCAAAGAATGTGTATTTCTAACAAGTTCCCAAGCGATGCTGACACTACAGTTCGTGGACAACCCATCTCAGAGAACCACTGCTCTAAGCTAAGGATCAACAATTAGTGGCCAATCAGCTGAATGTAGCTTGGGGATGTGCTCTGGTTGGAAGGAAGGAAGGGAGGAAGGAAGGAAGGGAGGGAAGAAAAGGATGGAAGGAAGGAAGGATGGAAGGAAGGAAGGAAGGAAGGACGGAAGGAAGGAAGGACGGAAGGATGGACGGACACGAACTTTTCCAGCTGGGAGACAGTACCCTCCATTTTGCCTCTGTTGCCACCGCTCTTTATTATAATGGCGCCTGCAGGATTCCAACCGTTTGTTACGGGCCTGGCCTCCACGGCATCTGAGTGTACAATCTGTGATCTAAACTATACTTCAGCCTGCTTTCTCCTGGCCCGTCCTGGAGTTAGGAATTTAGTTCAGGCTCTGTTCAGGGGTTCTTCCTTGTAACCTGACACCGAGTGCCCCAGCCAGAGCCAGGTCTGCCGCCTACTTCCCGGGTGAGGAACGTCACACAGGACTCATCCTTCCTGGGCAGCGCCCACAGAGGGTACGGATGCTTTTGGGCTTACTTTCCAGGCACCCTTGAGTAAGGAGGGTGGGAGGGTTGAGCTCTCGCAGTCCTGACAGGCCTATGATTGTGCCACCAGGTGCCAGTGGCCTCAAAGTGCTTAGTCCAGGTCCTGGGGTCCCTGCAGTTGCTTCTGCTTCATGGGGCCACTCTGCACACAGCCGGTAGTAGCTCCTAATCCAGCCACTGGAAGCCGAGTAACAAGCCTTGACCCTGCGGGGCCTACAGGGACCATCCGGGATCTGAGGGACAGGGGATAATCACATTTCAATGCCCTGTCAGGGCGCATGGGCAGCATTCACTCTGTCCCTACTCAGGTGCATTGAACCAAACCAGGAAAACACTGGTCTAAGCCCCA